GTGCAAGTCTCGACGTACGTAGAATGAAGTTTGTTCACTGGTAGAAATGCCCAGTCATGAGGCGGGATGCCTGGGTAGTGCTGGAGACCTGAAGAAGATGACGATGCGATGGGAGCTCGTGACGTGCAAACTGAAGGAGTCTGAATAACAGAAACAGAGACACTGTTGCGAGGTCATCGACCTCCCATGGATATATGACCGGGCCTTGGCTGAACGCTTGTACGTCGCAGCTCATAAAACTCTTCTGGAGTTCTCGCTCGAGGACATCAGATGATGCTGAAGTCACTACGCATAGTATTGGTGCAGTTTATGTGGGTAGAGTCAGCATCTGCCAGATTGGCAGGTGAAGATATGACACCGCTAACATGCGGGTGAATGTGTAAAGATGCAACACTGTGGTGAGTATGCTGGGCAGGCACTCGAGGCAGGTAAGATAAGCAGACTTATTCTTCTATCACAAACTTAGGATGCAGAGTGCCGACTAAGCCTATGACTCAGTGATCAAACACTTACTGATACTTGTCGAGGTAAGGATGGACACAAGCGATGATCAAGGTCAAGCAGTGCTTTGCAAGTGAGCACTGGTAACACTGAGTGGATTGGCATAGCAGAGATGAGAATAAGTCTGAGGGACTTATGTGTCTCAGAGCTCTGGCTTATATACATGAGCGGAGGGACCCTTGGTACCCTGATATCCCAGAATTGCTAGCTAATGGATCTTGTCTGATTGGTTACCACTACCTGTTAGACTACGTGTGTCATGCATGCTGACTATCTGAACTACTTAGTAAGACCATGGGAATGGTATTGCCTGTAATGGCTACATCACCGGTGGCGTGGCATCTATCTTCCTCATGTATGTGAACTAATATCCTCTTAAAAGACATAACTCCGGTGGCATGGGTAGCCTTCATAGGATTCTTTCAGAGTCTGACTGTTGCTTCTAGGTGGGATGATATTACTGTATAAGTTAGGCTTACCTAATACCTGCACCACTTGTCACATATATGGATATCACGTGATATGTCACGTGACTAAACCTGAACTTCCAGGGCACCTAGGCTGTCAGTACTTCGCATACCGATTCGTTCCTTTCTAGACAGCCTAGCGCTGATGTCATGTGATGTCTTGGTCATGTGTAGAGTTAAAAATGTGGAAATCTGTGACAGTACCCCCCCTTTTAGACAGTTCATCCTGAATCTGGCTTTTTACGTGATTTCTAGAAATAATTATCACCAGTTGAACCAAATCCACGATGTCCTCGAGCTGATGGTTTGAGATAATCTACTAGTGAAATGACAGGAGTGATAATATGTTCAATCATAAGTTGAGCGACACAATCGCCCAAATTGACTGTGAAGTCATTATTGGTAATGTTGATCAGCAAAATTTTGATTTCGCCTGTGTACCCTCTGTCGATTACACCAGCTCCTACATTGATGCCTTTGATCGCTAAACCACTTTGTGGTGCAATTTGTCCATAGGTTCCTCAAGGTGTGATAAAATAAAGTCCTGTGGATACTAATCCTCATGAATGTGCTTGGATGATTGTTGATTCTGATGCAGCTAAATCCATTTCAGCATCGTCTTCATGCGCATATTTTGGTGCATGTGCATTTGGATTATTTAATGTAATTTGAAGATCTCTAGAATGATCCCAATCATCTCAGTCCTGATCATATATCTGAATTGTATCAGTGGTGGGGTCATAGATTTGACCTGTTCTCCTGGGTGGAAAAATGCCATCGACCGGAGTTGTATCGATAAGAGATATTGGTTGGGGTGCATCGGGATATTTCTTGTGGAATTTCTTGATAAGATGCAGAGATTTCTTCAAATTCGTAGCGGGTTCCCAAATTTCTTCAGCCTTGGAATAGCCTTTCCAATGCACCAAATATTGAAGTTTGCCATGAACGACACAAGAGTCGACTATGTATTTGACTTCCCATTCTTCACCAGTCTTCTTTTTAATAGGATGATGGGGTCTGAGTGTGCAGCCAGGTATTTCATCTTCATGGTAGAGCGTGAGCTTGGATGCATGAAAAACTGGATGAATGCCGTATTGCCGCAGCATTTTGAGTTTATATGTGACTGGTCCTAGTTTTTCTACAATTTTGAATGGTCCATCTTTCCGTTGTGCCAATCTTTAGTGGAGAGTAATACTTGATCTCCAACTTTGAAAGGTGCGGGTCATACAGATTGATCATAGTACCATTTCATACATTCAGCTGCTAATAGAATAGCGGCCTTCGCTTGCTCCTGCACTTCTACTCATGCCTGCATTATGGAATCTAGTGTATCATGTTTTATAGAGTCCATTATTGTTGGTTCTGCACATGGATGTCTGCCATATTCGACAAAGAATGGTGAATTCTTAGTGGCTTCAGAAGCCTGATTATTGTAGGTGAATTCGGCAGTTGGCAGTAGTGTACTCCAATCTTCCATGTGTCTGTCAGTATAAATATGAGGATATTGCTTTAGTGACTGGTTTGTTCTTTCAGTTTGACTGTCGGTCTCCAGATGATAAGCTGAAGACATTGCAGATTCTATCCCAAGGAGTTTGCATACTTCCTGAAATAGTGCGCTTGCAAACTGAGTTTCTCTATCCGAGATAATCTGTCTCGGAAGACCGTGCTGTGTCCCATACCCTCTCGTAGAAGGTACGTGCAAGATCTGATGCAGAGAACTCATTGGTAATTGCAAAAAAGTGTGCTCTCTTGGTCAAATGATTGACAACTACCATAATTACATTGAATCTATGAGATTCTGGTAATTAAATTGACTGAGACAATTTTTCAAGGTTCTGTTGGAACCTTATTCAGTTGTAGTTCTCCCTATTTTGGCTGATTGATATTTTTGTTGCATTGACAAAGGCCGCAAGAACCAACATATCTTTTGACATAAGTGGACATTCCTGATCACCAGTAATTACGAGATAACATCTCATATATCTTTCATCTTCCTGGATGACCTGCACTGGTGGCTTCATGATGACACTGGACAATTTCTCATCTAAGTGATTCCTTATTATCTGCTTTTGACACGTAGACTTTGCCTCGATATAGTAATATCCCACTTTCGAAGTTTCAGTCTTCGAGTCCTTTTGAGAACTCTCATTGTCCTTTTTTGAGTAGGTCTTGATATGATTTGTTCACATTGTCATCTTGTAGTGCCTTTTTGATCTTGTCCACCAAATCATGATCTGTGACGACTGCGAAATGGGTATGTTGAATAGCTTTAATTGTGAAATATTTCAGCTTGAGCAGAGTTTTGTTGAACTTATCAAGATTTACCCCCTCTTCATGATCTGGTCTCCTGAACAGAGGATCAGTGTGATGCATTGATTTTCCTGGTTTGTGATGTGGTTGGATGTTGAACAGTGTGAGGTAAAGTGACCATTGAGCTTGCCGTCTCATCAGCTTTTGTGCTCATTTGAAATAGGTTAAGTTCTGGTGATCGGACCAAATTTTTACTGGAAGCGGATGACCTTCGAGATATTGTCAGTATTTCTCCAAGGCTCAAATGATTGCGAGCATCTCTTTGTCATATATTTCATAGTTCTGCTCAGCCTCATTTAGGCTTTTTGAGTAGAATGTGATTGAATGCCACAACTCATCGTTTTTGAGTTGTTCAAGGCAAGCACCAGTAACAAAATCGCTAGAATCCATTTCTAACCGAAATGGGTGAGTATCATTTGGTAGTGCCAGAATTGAAGCCGAAGTAAAGGCATGCTTAAGCGCATCAAATGCCTGTTGCTGTTCTTCACCCCATACCCATTTTTGATTCTTTCATGTCAGGATATTGAGTGGTCGAGACTTTTTGGCAAATCCTTCAATGAATCGATGATAGAAATTAGCGAACCCAAGGAAAGCTTGTACTTGCTTAACCTTTTTGGGTTCAGGCCAGTCGAGTACATCTGTGACCTTTTGAGGATCCATGCGAACCTCACCTTTAGAGATAATCATCCCTAAGTACTCAATCGAGGACTGTTCAAAAAAGCACTTTTCTGGCTTGGTGAAAAGGTCATTGTCCCGTAATCTCTTAAGTACCTCTTTTGTAATCTTCTGATGTTGTTTCAGATTGTTTGTGAAGATTAGAATGTTGTCGAGGTAGACGATCACATGACCTTCCTGAATAAGATCATCTAGAATCTCATTCATCATATACTGAAAGGTGGCTGGTGCGTTACAGAAACTGAAAAACATAACTGTTGCCTCATATAAACCGTAATGCATCACAAAAGCTGTTTTTCATTCATCACCTTTACAGATGGGAACATTGTTATATCCCCAACAGAAATCCAGCTTGGTGAATATTGACGCATTGCTGAGCTGATCGATAAGCTCACTTATTCGTGGGATAGGAAAGCGATTCTTCTTGGTTATGGTATTAAGTTTTCCGTAATCTTGTACCAGTCTTAATGTGCCGTCTTTCTTTTTGACAAAGAATACAGGTGCTGCAATAGGTGATTTCAATTTACGAATGTAGCCTTTTGCTAGATTTTCGTCGATCCATGAATCTAGAGAATTCTTTTCCTCTGAATTCATAGGATATAGTTTACTTGATCGTGATAATTCATAATCTTCTTCAAACTCAATTGCATGATCATAAGGCTTTCAAGTTGACATCCTTTCAGATGCTTTCTTGGAGAAGACATCACCAAATGAATGTGATACTAATTTTTCTCAAGATTCTACTTCATTAATAACCTGATCTTCTGGGCTGCCAGTGTTTGACTGATGTGCTGCTCCATTCAGGTTTTTCTCTGGTTCAGCATAGTCGCAGTCCACTAGTGAAAGAATCATGTGAGCTATTTGTTCAGCTTTGAGATCGTCCATTTTGACCCACGAAATGATAGGATTTACTGCATCAATGTTGTGCCCATTAAACATTTTAAATGCAGTTGGCTCCTCATCTGCCATTTGCTGTGCACATTGCGAGATTTCTTCAGCTTCTTCTCTCGCAATGGCTTGTTGTTTTTTATGAAGCCTTTGGTGGTGACACGTACTCGGGCATTGTGAGTATTTCCATTCTCTAGCTTGCCAATTGATCTCTGGATTGTTCTGACATAAATATGACATCCCAATGATCATGTCTAATTTCTGTATGTCCGTGACTAGCAGACAGTGGGTAGAACCATGATCTCTGACTTTTATGTATGCCTTTATGTAGTCAGTTATTTCTTCATGTTTGTTTTGGGACCCGTCATCATTGTACACTTTGTATGTTGTGTTAAGCTTGGAGGTTGCAATTCGATTGTTTTTTACGAATCGCTTGCTGATATACATGGAATATGCTCCTGAGTTGACTAAAGCTTCGGCGCTCGATTTCTTGCCATACACCCATAATGTAACTGGTAAATAAAATAATGATAGATTCAGAGATGAATTTTTTATTGTTACATTATCGTCCTCTGCGTTGTGATGATCTACAGAGGTGTCTGATCCGGGTGCTAAATGTACAGGTCTTATATAATGTTCTGGGAACTCTGACAAGCTGCCTACAGATTTCCTTTCAGAAAACCCTTCAGATCCTTTTTGAAGAGCCCTCTCCCACCTTCCTTGATGAACTGGATCCATTGACCCTCAGGTGCCTGAGCCTTGAGAGGATCTCATCCAAATCTTCTTCATCTGACTCAGATGCTACAGGCTTGCTTTCCGAGTGGATGCTGCAGTTGCTGATGTGTGCAGCTGTCTCCTTACTTTTCCCCTTAGTCTTAGAGGAAGAGCTCTTTCTCTTAGGCTTCTTTTCTTCTTTGGTGTCAGAGCTTTCACTCTCTGCATCTGATGAAGCAGAATCAGATACCACCTGTCATATCTTGGATGACTTTGACTTCTTCTTGTCATTATCCTTGCTCTTCCCATCCTTCTTCTTCATGGCTGCCTCCTTCTCCTTCTCAGCTTGCTTCTTGACATGGTCCAATTTGAAACAATCAGTGCAATACTTGCTGAAACGTTTTTACGATTTGAAGAACATTGGTTTGTTCTTCTTGCAGTTGGCACAAACCAACTTGTCATCTTGGACACTTCACACTTTGCCCAATTTACTTTTCCTCTTCTTACTCACTGCATCAATCTCCATGGCATTTGGATCTTTTGTTTCAGCCTTGGCATGATGGTCTTCTCATTGTAGTGATGTGAAAATCTGGAGCACAAAAGTAAGGAACTCAGTCCATTTCTTGGGCCATTTGTCCTTAGGTGTATCTGCCAGCATGAGCAGCCATGTCTTTTCTGAAATGTGCTTCTTGATCTTCTCAATCAAGTCCTGGTCTGAGAAGCTGGTGCCTGTTGCCTTTGGATGGAAGTCTTCTGTGAACTTACAGAAGTCTCAATGGTCCTTCATGATGAAGGCCTCTAACTCCATTCGCTTCTTATCATCCTTGTCCAAGGATTTGTATGCTGTGTGAAGCTCAGAGACAAACTCCACCCAAGTTCCTGGTGCCTTATTATTTTCATTTATCTCAGTGATCCAATGTCACATATATTCACATGCTCCTCCCTTCAGGAGCAAGAGGGTAGACATAATTTTGGACTCATCTTTGGTATGTCCAGTATATTTCAATCAGAGCATGACCTGTTCGAGCCAATCATCAAGATTGACTCTGTCCTTGTTGCCACCATATTTCTCTGGCGGGTCAATTTTTACACCTTTACCCTTGTGGCCAAATGATGGCTCATCATTGTCGTCTGTGTCTGCAACATTGTCACCATCTTGCCCTGCTTTCCTCCCTTGCGATGATGCCCATTTACATAGTTGCTCATGCGACTTTTTGAGTGTGTCGACCATTGTGTGAATTTCAGTATTGCATTCATCCAAGGTAGCTACTGTGGGCTCAACATTTTTGCAATAATCTTCAATGAGCTCTTTGAGTTCTGAATTTAGAGCCACCACTGTCTTCTCCAGATCAGCTATTTGAGAGAGAAAATCCTGTCAATGTTTGTCAAGAAATACTGTGCAATTATAAAATTCTGTGGTATTTTATTGAGCGACACTAGCTTGTTGGTTAATACGATGCTCATAATACACCACCGTCTGTTGATGCATCTGCTCTACCACATTGGTGACAAGATCAACCATCCAGTTTTTGACATCTGGTGGAATATTTGCATTTAGGGGCACCGTATTGGCAAGGGCTTGAAGAATAATAGGATTCAGAGATTGTAATACAATATTGAGACGTGCAGGAAGCTCTGGAGATGGAGCACGAGAGAAACTGGGATCATGTGTGGTGGGAGTCATCATCTTTTAAACTTCTTCCTCTATCTTCCGTAGATGTTCTTCAAATTCCATAATGTGACGATTTGCAATAGTGGCTGATCGAACGATTTGTCAAATAAAATAACTGTGATGAAGTACCCAAATGTCATTGAAAATTACTTTGATGAAGGATTGCCACAGGAACCTAGTTTTGTCCCTGACTGCTGACCACTGACGACTGCGATGGATTTGACAAATGCACTCAACCTCTTTGAGCCAGTCGACAAAGCTATCGTAAGCTTTTGTAAGATGATCTTTCAGTTCCTGGTAACTGACAGGGATATAGCAGATGTGAACCACTACATTTCTCCAGTTGAAGTCTGGGTAGATTTGTAGAGCAGATAGATGATAGACATTGTAATAATCGATATCAAACGTGTCTTCGTATGTAGCGAACGCTTCCCCTGCCCTTTCCTGAAGACTGTGCGGTATAGAATCTCAAAGATAATTGAAAGTATGGCTAACTGGATTGAGGTGCTCAAAGTTATCAAGATTGTTCAAATCGCCAGATGAAGACATATACAAATATTTGTAACTACAGCAAAGGTCGCCCTGTGACCTGTATTCCTAGACAATATTTCGCAATGATATCTAATATGATATCATGAGCTGCTCCTCCCTGATGCTTCCTTTCCTGAACATAGTTGCAGAAATCACGCACCACATGTTGGTGTACGAAGGAAAGCTTGAATTCCACAATGTCATTGCAGATAGATTCGAGCTTGGAGATAAGGTGCTCGATGACAAGAATGTCATCACGGTCAAGCTGACAATGATATTGTGGGATGAGGAATAGATGAACCTGTCGAAGGGTGCCTTCGACGTGCTGAGTTGAGATGATGAAGATTGCGAGAGGATATATGTAATGAGATCCGGTAGGAGTCTCGACATATGTGGAACGAAGTTTATTCACTGGTAGCAGTGCCCAGTCATAAGATGGGATGCCTGGGTAGTGCTGGGGACCTATCAAAGATGACGATTGTGTGGGGGCTTGCAGCGTGCGAACTGAAGGAGTCTGTATAACAGAAACTGAGACACTGGTGCGAGGTCATCGATCTCCCGTAGAGATGTGACTGGGCCTTGGCTGAACGCCTGTATGTCGCAGCTCATAGAACTCTTTTGAAGTTCTCGCTCGAGGGCGTCGGATAATGCCAAAGTCACTGCGCGTAGTATTGGCATGGCTTATGTGAGTAGAGTCAGTGTCTGCCAGATCAGCAGGTGAAGATATGACATCACTAATGTGTGGGTGGATGTGCGAAGATGCAACACTGCAGCGAGTATGCTGGGCAGGCACTCGAGACAGGTAAGATAAGCAAACTTATTTTTCTATCACAACTTAGGACGCAGAGCGTCGACTAAGCCTATGACTCAGCGATCAAACACTTACTGATACTTGTCGAGGTAAGGATGAGCACAAGTGATGATCAAGGTCAAGCAGTGCTTTGCAAGTGAGCACTGGTAACACTGAGTGGATTGGCATAGCAGAGATGAGAATAAGTCTGAGGGACTTATGTGTCTCAGAGCTCTGGCTTACATACATGAGCAGAGGGACCCTTGGTACCCTGATACCCCAGAACTGCTAGCTAATGGACATTGTCTGATTGGTTACTACTACCTGTCAGACTATGTGTGTCATGCATGCCGAATATCTGAACTACTTAGTAAGACCATGGGAATGGTATTGCCTGTAATGGCTACATCACCAGTGGTGTGACATCTATCTATCTCATGTATGTGAACTAGTATCTCCTTAAAGACATAACTCTGATGGTGTGTGTCTCCTTCATAGGATTCTTTCAGAGTCTGACCATTGCTTCTAGGTAGAATGATATTACTGTATAAGTTAGGCTTACCTAATACCTGCACCACTTGTCACATGTATGGATATCACATGATATGTCACGTGACTAGATCTGGACCTCCGGGGTGCCTAGGACTGTCAGTACTTCACGTACCAGTTCGTTCCTTTCTAGACAGCCTAGTGCTGATGTCATGTGATGTTTTGGTCACATGTAGAGTTGAAAACGTGAAAATCTGTGACAGTCTCGAAGTTCTCTGATGACTTCCTTCCTGAATACTTGAAAGAATCTGGAAGCTTAATTCGACAGGGCACTTGGCTTGTTTGACCAGCCGGTTGTTGGATATCCATGAAAGGTGCATTGATGATAGCATTATTGAGTCAGGTTTTCAGTCCAATGATGTAAGTCATGGTTTTTTCCTGAGCCTCCTTCAGGGCGACCATGTTATCGTAAAGGGCATCTATCTAGCGATTTACTTCATCCTTGTAGTCTTCAAAGTCCTTGCAGATTGCTTGGGCTTCAGCTGTCAGATTGCTGTTGACCTTGGTAAGCCTTTCGATATCAGCAGAGAGGTGCCGGTCTGAGCTCTGGCCACTTTTAAATGGTCTCGTGTCTCTGTTGCCAGTATCTCGACATGGATGTGAGCCAGTATTTCTTTTTTTAATGCCTCCACTACTTGATCATGCCATTCATTCATTTTGAGGTAGAGGGCTTTGTACAACCCTATGATGTCTCTCATTATGAATAAGCATACTACATTCATCACCCATTCCTTGATGTCTTCTGGTTACGGTGAGTGGTGCAGCAGCATTGGCAGCTTCTTTGATGGTGGAATAGGGTATCCCATTCCATTCTCATACTTGAGATGTAGAAAATGCTGGCAGGGTGGAAGGTGATGGGTTTCTGACTATTTCCAATGCCTTTGGTGTGCTGCTAGTGTGTGGTTCTTCAGCAGAGGCAGCTAGTCCTGCTTCAGATGATACTGAAGTGGCCTGACTCCTCCAGGAATCACTAGGCTCACTCACGGTGTGTCCTCCTAGAAACGCAATGCCTCCAAGGTTATATTGAGACATAGAAATTGATGTGGAAGATAGGGAAAATGATGTCGTTGACAATTTAGAATGGGTCAGTGTTGTTGATGATTAATTCCTTTTCTGTCAACTCAAGGTAGAGTGTCACGGTGCATCATAGATCCTGCCAAAAGGCAAGAAAATGGCTGCAAGGTGCTAGCTGTGCTCAGTGACCTGCATAAATACCAAAATAAGGACCTGCCACAAGGGGGCTAGGTCAAAAAGGCATGCAGTGACATGCAGCCTGCAAAAAGGGGCTCAAAGGGCCCTTTGCCTTATATCACACAAAAGGGAGGTAATGACTGTTTAGGCCGCATGAAATAGTTGAACGAAACTGGGGGTACCCAGCTTCCTCATAGGTGCTTATATACATGTAGGGCAGGGTCTCTGGCACTGTGCTACTGTGAGACCTCAGATATCTACATGTAAACATATTGCCAGAACCGGTAATGGTTCTGGGCTTTGCCATAGCAATTATCTACAAAGGCCGTAGATACGCCGAGGTAATCCTATCTAATCTAATGAGACAATTGCCTGTAAGTGGGCCCACTGTTGAGGGGCCAATGGGTGATGGCTGACAGGGCACATCACAACAGTTGCAACATCAGATGAGAGGATCTGTCCAAACTCAGAACAATGAGTGTGATGATCAGTCTTCATCTGGATAGAGTTGTGAGAAGATTTAGCCTATCCTGTACCTGGCTATACTGTATGCCAGTTCGTAGGGGGATCCTAAGTTGTGGTACCTGCCTATTGGTTTAGGCGGCAAAGTGGTGCCACTATCTTGAGTGGTGAATTGGGTGCTTGCTAGCTTGATGGTCCAATGAGTTCCTTTCTGGGCAAGTGGCCTGGTGTCACATGACCAATGCCTGACAACTTCCAAATAGGGCAAGTGGCCAGTGTGTCACGGTTTTACCTGACCACGTCATAATAGGAACATATGCACCTTAGAAGCATATTATTTTTCGTCATCTCACGTCGCCAACTAGTCACGTGACCTAATGAAGATAAGATAAGAGGCATCTAGTCACATGACCTCGGATCTCCTCCGGCATTGTCACGTGACACCGAGCTCCTCGGCATTGCATCATATCACGTCATAGCAATGATGCAATATTGCGTGCTCAACGGAGCTCCGTCTTCCGCGGATTATTATTAGGCAGCCAATACAGACAATTGGGACATCTCATGTGATTGTAGCATTAGCCAGTAGCATAGTGTGTGACTCACTTATGTAGTACTGTACAGTAGCGTAGCAATCATGTATATAAGGACCAGGTCTGACGAGGAGAGACCCCCAGTCTTATTCTCCTTCATCCACCACTACCACCACAGGCGGGTCTTACAAGACACTGCCAGTGTGCTATATAACTCTTTGCATCTCCCTCACTGTGTGCAACCCTCTCGACGCTGCCAGTAAGTTTTACTTTGCACCAGTCGACTAGACCCGGCTAGTGAGCACGTCGTATCGCCACAGCCCCTCGCTGTAGGCTCCACCAAGCATCCCTTTGTGGACTTAGTTTTGGTTGTCTATCTTTGTCATCAGCGTGCTGTGACATTAGAATAAGACTGACCTTTTCTCGCCCTGACTAAGTGTCTAACACTAGTCGCTGTGTGCTTTCGCCCAGAGAATCCTCCGCCCAGGGCAGGGCTTTTACCACACCACTTCCTTCATATCATTCCACTCCGTCTCTACTGCCTAAGCCGCTCCCTTCCTTCAAAAGGAACAGCGCAGCAGCAACCGGCAGTAAAGCGCCTCAAGTCCACAATGGGATCGTGCCGCCCAACGGCCGCTACCATCCGTACCAGCGGAAACCTCACACCCACCACCTAACAGAAGGCAATATCCTACAGGCCCAGCCCATCGAGGCCCATCGCTCGGAGCTTCAAAAGCTTCGAACTAAGGTCAGCTCGTGGGCAGCAGAAGTTCCCAAAGAAGACTCTAACGTCTCTCCTCTCATCGCGAAACCACATTGGTACGTGAATGACTCCGCCATCACCGTCCTCTCCTTCGCACTCTCAAAGCATTACCATCCGCTCGGGATCAATGAGAATCCCAAGAGCACCCTCCCCGAGAACATCGGCCCCACTGTACACGCTACTATACAGCGGTACAAAGTGTTGCAGCAGCCGCATATCGCTGCCAAGTTCACCGAGGAGCAGTTGAAGTGTCGAGATCGCATTCTACGACACTTGGGAGCATTGAACAGCAGGATTGGAGAAGGAGTGGACTTTACGTTTGTGGACAGACGCATCGCAATTAAGCTTTGCGTGGGACTAGGAAAGATTTCATTTAGGAACATCAACAAGGAGCAGGAGCGTGTAGGAAGAGATCTAGTTAGATTTGAGAAGGAGTCGTGTTACTGGCCATACTAGGACCAGTATATCTTTTGTAACAGAACATTTTCGTGTAGTGAATGCCAAGATATGCAACCGGCTTTATCTTTGCCAACTACGTGAACGATCACTACTGCCCGGCGCAGAACGAACTTGTTGTAGTCTGCACCACGTATTTCATATATCAACCTCTCGTCACCAACTGGCTGCTCATGCTTTACCACTACACAGTACAAGTACACGAGTACACCACATATTTCGCACCCTTCCGTCTAGTCGCAGACCTTGAAGAAGAACGTGAGTATCTGGAGTTTAGAGCAGAAAGTCTACGAGAGGAACTCGAAGAAGAAGGTCTTATACAAGAAGGACCCTTCTGAAACGTCATCAGACGAGACCAAGAATCGAATACATTGTCTACTTCATCCGTTCCATTATCCGTCACCTCGATCCCAATGTCTCAATACAACCTTGGAGGCGTTTCTTTCCCAGGTGGCCACACGAGTGAGCCAACCGATCCCTGGAGGAGCCAGGTCTCCTCAGAACAATCTGAAGTGGAGTCTGCTGCGTCCGCTGAGGCACCCACACCACAAGCGCACAATAGCAGCACACCTCGGACATCGGGTGTAGTCAGGAACCCATCGCCCACAACTTTTCCAGAATTTGCACCCCCACATCAATGGGAATGGCAGGGGGTCTTCTACAACACCATCAAAGAAGCCGCATCCGCGGCTGCACCAAACACCGTCCCACAAGACGTAAGGGACTGGGTGATAAATGTGGTGTGGGCGTTCATCATGAGGGATGTAGTAAGCTCGTACGAAGCCCTACGTCAAAAAATGAATGAACGCCACGAATGACTGGTGGCATCACTGGAGGATGAAATTTTGGCTCGCATTTATACTCAATTATATAGCCAAGAAACGTGAGACCAATTGAACACGGCCCGAGCCCAAATCGGTGCGCTCTCAGCCGATAACGAGAGGCTCATCAAGGCCAACAATACACTGACGCTCGAAGCCCAAGCAATTCACAAGGACTTCGAGGACTACAAGGACAAAGTAAAGGGCCAGACGGATGCCCTTTACGGCAATATGGTCGCCCTGAAGGAGGCTCAGGAAAAGACCACGACTTACATCGTTAGGCTGGAAAGCTGGCTCAACAATTCAATCATCAACGTGCCTCCCACAGGTATCCCACAACCAGCCAGCCAAAATAGCCAGAACCCTCGCCGAATCAAGCTCCCGGACCCCCTCAAGTACTCTGGCAGAAAATCTGCCGAAAACTTCGAAACGTGGTTCACCAATCTTCTAATCTGGTTGGACTACAACAGTTTTACGGACGATAAGGACAAGATTCGGCAGGCCAACGCACATCTGGAAGGTGAAGCGGCTCTATACATGAAAGAGTATGCAATCAAGCTCGCCGCTGGACAAAACGTTGGTACATGGGCGGACTACACCAGGAAACTGGAAATGGCTTACAAGACACTTGACCCCAAGCGCACAGCACAATCAATGTTGGATGCGCACTGTGCAATTCACCACAAGACGATGATCACCTTCACCGAGAGTTTCAGGGCGTATGCCCCAGAATCAGGATACTCGGACGAGGATCTAATCGTCAAAATCAGAGAACAACGGTCTCTTCATATTCAAACGGTCATGTCGGTCACGGAAACTTTGGATCCATCAAAGATCCCGACCACCTGGATGGAGTACCTGGAGTTCCGCTTGGAGATTGAAATCAAGCATCAGCAGCAACTCTCGGGTGCGAAACTGGCAGGACCAACACAGGCAAAGAATACCGAACCCAAGGACCCCAACACAATGGACACCAGCGCTAGAATAGCACATGAACTCTCCCCCGAACAAGACAGGTGGCTTGCTGGCAAACTATGTTTGTTTTGCGGAAAGCATGCCTACGAGCGGGGAAAGAAGTGCCCTTCTCCCAAACCTGAGTATAAAGGCAAGCGGTTTCAAACCTGCAACAAACCTCAGGATAGAGGAAAAGGCAAGGTGCAACGGGTCCGACAAGTCGACGAGGACAACGGGACGGAGACATCAGTGCAAATTGCAGCTTTGGAACAAGCAATTGCTGCACTACGCGGCATGAAGAGTTCCACTCCGACCACCTCGTCCAAGGGCAAAGGGAAGGTGAAGCAAGAAGATGCGGCAACATCGGCATCGGCATCAACGGTTAAGGACACCACCACCCGAATCCTCAAATTGGACGAATTCACCGAGGATTTTCAGTATGCAGTGTAGACGAGTCTGGTGTCACACTGCAGGACAATATAGATTGTATTAGTACCGTGAGAGCGAATGTACCGAGCGATTTTTTATATATTGCATCAGCCAGTTTCTCTAAACATTCGATCGAATTGCTGATAAAATTCGCATCACGGGAAATCCAGACAACGGTCTTACTGGATTCTGGGGCATTCTCATGCTATATCAATCAGAGATTTGCCGAAAAACACGGGTTTAAGTTGATACCACTAAACTGTGAGATAAGAATCCTGAACGCAGACGCCAGTTCTAACAAGGGCAGCGCAATTACCCATCATGTAGTCACAAGCATCTTAATTGGGGGGCACCGATCAACTGAGAGTTTGCTCGTCACAAACCTCAGACGCATGTCAATGATCCTTGGCATGAAGTTCTTAAAAGAACACAACCCCCAAGTTGACTGGGAACAGAGAGAGGTCACATTCTCCAGGTGCAGACACACGAAGGGTCAACAAGTTCGAGTAAGCGAAGAAGAAGTCAACCTTCTATCGGAACCTCGACTTGAAGATGAAGCAACTTTCCCTGACATACACAAGGATGACGGGTGGGATCAGAAAGACAGCTTCATAAACTGAATAGACTTGCAAGACCAGGATCTTCGTAACATGATGCACGACATCCTTGGCATAAGCAAGAAGGTAAAGGAGCATTTGGTAGAACAGCCGGCAAAAGAGACACAGGACAAAGAATATTGGTCCAAATTTGTCCCTCCAGAATTTCATCAATTTGGAGACGTGTTCTCAAAGAAGAGTTCAGAAAGAATGCCGACGCGTAAGCCCTATGATCACGCAATTGATCTTGTCCCAGACGCGGCAACCCCGAAATCGGCAAAAGTATACCCAATGTCTTTACGAGAGAAGAATTCGCTCGATGAATGGATTGACGGCGAAATGGCCAAAGGCTACATTCAACCATCTAAATACCCTTTCGCGGCCCCAGTATTTTTCGTGAAGAAAAAAGATGGATCACTTAGGCTAGTTCAGGACTATAGGGCCCTCAACAGTGTCACCAAGAAGAACAAATTCTCGCTCCCACGAATCAACGATCTCATCGATGGACTCTCACGAGCCAGCATCTTCACAATGCTGGACCTGAGATGGGGGTACAACAATGTACGCCTTCGTGAGGGAGACGAGGAAAAGGCAGCGTTCATCACCTACCGTGGTTTATTTGAACTGACTGTCATGTACTTCGGATTCTGCAACGCCCCTAGTACCTTCCAGGCAATGATGAACGATGTACTAAGCGATCTCATTCGCACTGGTAAGGTGGCGGTCTATATTGATGATATAATCATCTTCACAGATAATCAAGAGGAACATGACCAATTAATCGAACAAGTCCTTCAACGCCTCCGACAATGACCTTTTTGTGAAACCTGAAAAGTGCCACTTTGCGGCTACTTTCGTTAAGTTCCTGAGTCTCATAATCTCAAAAGGTTCAATTCAGATGGACTCTGAAAAGGTTGACGGTGTTCTCAAATGGCCGGTGCCCACCAAGGTCAAGCAACTACAGGTGTTCCTTGGTCTGGCAAATTTTTATCGATGGTTCATCAAGGACTTCGGGTCGATTACCCACCCCTTGACACTCCTTACTCGGAAAGACGCCCCCTGGAAATGGGAAGAATCTCAACAGAAAGCGTTTGAGGCCCTTAAAACTGCCTTCACTTCTGCCCCGATCTTAGCGCTCCCCAACGCAACCCGTCCCTTTAGACTAGAGACGGATGCCTCAGACTTCGCAACCGGCGCAGTCCTTGAACAGTTGGGAGAGGATGAGCTATGGCACCCTGTCGCATATTACTCAAAATCGCTCAACAAACATGAACGAAATTATGAGATCTACGACAAGGAGATGTTAGCCATCATTCGGGCCCTTAAAGAGTATAGGCAATACTTTGAAGGCCATCCACACCCTGTTGAGATTTGGTCGGATCACCTAAATCTTACCTATTTCCGCCAAGCTCAAACATTGACCAGGCGACAAGCTCGCTGGTCACTTTACCTCACTCGATTTAATTTCATTCTCTGTCACCGCCCCGGAAAGACGATGATGCGTGCCGATCCTCTGTTCAGGAGACCAGATCATGAGAAGGGGGTGAGCAATGACAATTTCGGGCAAACTTTGCTTCGTCCTGAATACTTTACCATCCACGCGATCTCAGCCACTCACGCCTCCGAAGTTGATGATGCAAAACTTCTCGGAAGAGTGAAATTGACACTACAAGACGACGAGATGACCAAAGGTTACCAGAACCTACTCAAAACTGGCAAGCGAGAGTTCAGGAAAGACCTCCAAGAGTGAAACTTCGAGCATGGATTGCTGCTTAGAAGGGGAAAGGTCTATGTTCCGAAAGACTCTTCGCTGCGGAACAAGCTAATCAAGTTACATCACGATATCTCCACGGCCGGACACCCCGGATGCTGGAAAACTCAAGAATTGATTAGCAGGAATTATTGATGGCCCGGGCTCACCATTGATGTTAAAAAGTATGTCCAAGGTTGCGTAACTTGTCAACGTAACAAAACAAGCAAGCAAAAACCTTACGGACTACTCCAACCTAATCTGGTACCGGAAGGACCTTGGGAAATGGTTACCTGTGACCTGATTACACAGTTACCGCCAAGTCCTGACCATAGGGGAGAAAAGAAAACTGCCATTTTGGTAGTCGTCGACAGGTTCACTAAACATGCTCACTTCTACGCAGTAGACGATACGGTGACAGCATCTCAAGTAGCATCAATATTCTATAACGAAGTCTTCAAACTCCATGGAATCCCCAGGCAGATCATATCCGATTGAGGCACTCAGTTCTCAGCCAAGTTATTCCAGGAGTTTTGTCAGAAACTTCACATCAGATCCACGATGTCTACAGCTTATCACCCAGAAACTGATGGACAGACCGAACGAGTCAATCAAATTCTCGAGCAATACTTGCGAATGTACTGCAACTATCGACAAACTGATTGGGCCACGTTACTGCCCACAGCGGAGTTTGCGTACAATAACCAAGCCTCGAAATCGACAGGTCTGTCCCCGTTTTTCATAGAGCATGGTCGACACCCCCGCATGGCACCCGATGTGCTGGAAGAAGTACAACATCCATCCCTGGACCACTTATTCCAGAACCGCGACCAAGCACAGGAACAAGCTCGTGCCGCTTTGACATTAGCAGCAGAAAAGATGAAATGGTATTTCGATCTCAAGAAGCAGGACGTCCCTTTCAAAGCAGGCGACGAAGTGCTCCTTCGAGGAAAAGATCTCCGTGTCAAAGTCAAAAGTCAAAAACTGGCGACTCAGATCTATGGACCTTTCAAGATCCTCGAAAAGGTCGGAACCGTATCTTTTAAGCTGCAATTACCAGTGGACATGAAGGTACACCTTGTGTTCCATGCTTCAAAGCTTATCATGTTCCATCAAGACTCAGTACCAGGACGGGTACCTCCTCCCAACCCTCCGATTATCATAGATGGAGAGGAAGAATGGGATGTCGAGGACATCCTGGACTCGAGGGTCAAATATGGTAAAACCCAGTATCTCATCAAGTGGTTGGACTACGACCACAGTGACAATACTTGGGAACCATTGGAAAACCTCACCAACGTCAGAGACAAAGTAGAGGAATTCCACAAGGCACACCTAGATGCTCCAAGAGCAAAGCCACAAACGTGTCAAGCTCATAAGATCGCCTTATCTGATCACCCTGATGAATTCATGCTCTTCTTCCGCATGCATCCGAATGCACGAGCACCCTATAAGGGCTCTGAGGAAGCAGTCGGTTGAGATGTTAAATCAATCCAGGATTTATCCATTCCCCCACATTCTCGAATGCTCATCAGAACGGGCCTCGCGGTAGACCCCCCCAAGCACACCTACATCCGAGTGGCCCCACGTAGCGGGCTCGCCCTTAAAGGAATAGATGTAGCAGCAGGGGTAGTAGATTCCGACTACACAGGGGAGATTAAGGTGCTTCTAGTCAACACGACCGATGCACCATTTGAAGTAAAAACAGGTGATCGGATCGCACAGTTCATATGCGAGAACTTCCATCCAGGTGTTATTTCTAAAGCGGACAGTTCACTCGCCAAAAGAACCAAACGCGGTGCCAAAGGCTTTGGCTCATCGGGACGATGAACCTTGAGAGGGGGGTGATGTCACAGTTTTACCTGACCACGTCATAATAGGAACATATGCACCTTAGAAGCATATTATTTTTCGTCATCTCACGTCGCCAACTAGTCACGTGACCTAATGGAGATAAGATAAGAGGCATCTAGTCACATGACCTCAGATCTCCTCCGGCATTGTCACGTGACACCGAGCTCCTCGGCATTGCATCATATCACGCCATAGCAATGATGCAATATTGCGTGCTCAACGGAGCTCCATCTTCCGTGGATTATTATTAGGCAGCCAATACGGACAATTGGGACATCCCATGTAATTGTAGCATTAGCCAGTAGCATAGCGTGTGACTTGCTTATGTAGTACTGTACAGTAGTGTAGCAATCATGTATATAAGGACCAGGTCTGACGAGGAGAGACCCCCAGTCTTATTCTCCTTCATCCACCACTACCACCACAGGCGGGTCTTACAAGACACTGCCAGTGTGCTATATAACTCTTTGCATCTCCCTCACTGTGTGCAACCCTCTCGACGCTGCCAGTAAGTTTTACTTTGCACCAGTCGACTAGGCCCGGCTAGTGGGCACGTCGTATCACCACAGCCCCTCGCTGTAGGCTCCACCAAGCGTCCCTTTGTGGACTTAGTTTTGGTTGTCTATCTTTGTCATTGGCGTGCCGTGACACAGTGTCATGTGACTGGGTGGCTGAATCATGGGTGCTTGGTGGTCATGTGGTAGACACAGTCATATTCACAATGTATGTGGCAGTATTGTGCTGTTTGTTCAAGTATCCACTTTGTGAGACCAATATGAAGGTTGGCATCCAAATAACCACTCAAATGAGGACTTTAATGG